ATCGTCACAACCAAATTCAAGCTAACGAGTCAAGTTTTTTGACCAGGTAAGCGTATCTACAAAGATATCTAACAAGGAAAGGAAGGAATATAAGAGCTCCTATTGGTCAAGTTTTCTTGACTCGTTAGCTTGAATTCGGTTGTGACGATGATATCTTATTCTAATAATGTTCGTCATATGACGGACGAAAGCTTAGCACCTTTACACCGGAATCGAAGGAGATTACCTCGGAAACAGCGTCAGAATGAACCTTCCAGTAAAGCCAATCGACAGCTGGTCAACAGGAATTCTTGTGGAACCGGCCTTCGAATCCCTTCACCAAACACTTTCCCTCGAAATGGAAGTAAGCTCAACAATTAAATCATGTTAAATAGTAGACTAAGGCTCGATTGAAATTTATAATATAGGGCATAATGTGAGTGTAATCGTGTTTGACCGAACTACTGGTCACTTCATATATAGACGCATCAATAAAGGTATATTTTGTAAAAAGGGCTGTGGGAGACCCGCGGCACATCCTAATTCACGCTTCTGCGCACCGGCTTCACAATGCCCGATCATAGACCCGGCCTGGGAGCGACCAGAAGGAGTGCCAATCGAGGCCATTATTTTCGGCGGACGCAGGCCTGAGGGAATTCCCCTTGTCTACCAAGCATATAGCTGGCGACATGGGGTATTCGTTGGTGCAACTCTGCGATCGGAGGCTACTGCAGCCGCGGAGCATCAGGCAAAGGTGGTGATGCACGACCCGTTTGCAATGCGCCCATTCTTCGGGTACAACTTCGGTAACTATATGGAGCATTGGCTAAAGTGAGTTGGACTATTTTCCGAATCGGAAAGCTCTCATCTCCTTTCTTGCTTACTCCAAGTCTAAAATAAAATTCTTCGCTAAATAGAGGATACCTATAATGCCTTAAGCCTGTTGTCTGTTTTTTGTGATTGATATTTATGAGTAATAGGACATGAATTGAATAAGAAACTACAACTATAACACGCAGGGAGGTAAGACATAAACTTTGATAACGTAAAATACTAAGATAGAGCACTAAAGCATACCTCCACAAGGGACTGATAACGGCCGT